CAGGCTATCCTCATTATCATTTTAATATAATAAAATGTTAGGTTTTAACTCTCGAGTGTTGTTTTTTTATGGTTAATATTTGATGTATCCAATAAGATACATTGCTCAGCTACCTCGTGTATAATATTGTATCTTATAAGATACATTGCTCAGCGGCCTCATGTATAACATTGTATCTTATAAGATACATTGCTCAGCGGCCTCATGTATAACATTGTATCTTATAAGATACAATGTTCAGTTATCTCATATTTATTGTTGTATTTAAAAAGATACGGAACCTTAAATTCTGAAATAAATTATTAAAATATTAAATAATAATATAATTATTATTTTTAATTTTGTATTTCTGTTTTACTATTAACATTTATTTATATACAGTTTGTTATTATTATATGTATTTAAATTTCTACTTATCATTTTACTAGCCATGCGAATAAATAAATAATAAAATAAATATTTAATTTTTACTAGGTAGCTATGTATAGAAATAAAAAAAATATTTCATCCCGAAGTTTGCGGCTTTTGAAATCTGTTCTTCCTCCATCGGATTCAGAAGATTCTGAAACTGAAGATGAGACTGAATTATCTTTAAATAGGAAATCAAATGCCCCCAACATAACTGTTATAGACGATTATGATTATAGTACACACTCGTCAAGTCCTCCGAGTGGTGCTTCGGAACTGGAGAATTATCTAAACGATATCGATGATATGCCCATGTTTGATGAATTAGGTACAGACATCAATAATTACATAAATTTACCAAGTACAAGTTACAATGATACTTTGGCTGAAGCTTCTATTTCTAATCCTATTTTAGATTTGCCTAATGTTGAAAGTAATATAATTGATAATCCAATTAATTTAAGTATTATTGAAAATATATTAGATCTCTCTTCTCCAAATAATTTGCCATCAGTCAATTTACATTCCGATTCTGACTTATCGATTGTTCAAAGAAAATCGGCTAGATTAGCTCAAATGACATATGTGGAACCAAATTCGGTATCTTCAGCATATGTTCAATCGGTTGAACCTCCTCCATCAACATTTACAAATAAAACCAAAAAAATTATACGACAAAAAATGACTTTTAAATGGACAAAACAGTTTAAATTTCCTGTTGATTTGCCTCCGTTTAAGTATTCGTCCATACCTCAAAATATTTCAACTCCTTACGAATATTTCAAAATGTTTCTTAAAGATGATATTTTAGAACTCATAACAAAGCACACTAATATATATAGTTCCCAAAAACTTGGTAAGTCTTTAGAAACAACAGTAGAAGAAATAAAACACTATATTGGAATTGAATTACTTATGGGAATCGTAGCAATGCCAGCATATACTGATTATTGGTCTGCCGACTTAAGATATAGTCAAATCGCAGATACCATGGCTCTAAAACGTTATCAAATGCTACGTCGATATATTCATTTTGTTGATAACAAAACAATTGATACTTCTGACCGTTTTTACAAAGTAAAACCAATTTTAGAAGGTATAAGAGAAAATTGTTTGTCAATTGAACAGGGTAAGTTGTTTTCAATAGATGAGATGATGATCCCTTATAAAGGGACCAAAGCTGGCTCCAGAAGACAGTATATTCGAAACAAACCTAAAAAATGGGGTTTTAAATTTTTTGTAAGAGCTGGAATTGATGGTTTTGTGTATGATTTTTTTCCATATGCGGGCGAAACAACGTTTAGTACAGAATCATTCTCAGAATATGAAGAAACTTTTTTTGGATTAGGGCAAAAAGTTGTTCTCCAACTTTGTAAAACCATTTCGGATAAACCACTTACAGCTGTTTATTTTGACAATTGGTTTACATCACTGGAACTTGTGACGTATTTAAGAAAAGAGTTTGGAATTTTAAGCCTTGGAACAATACAACAAAATAGACTGCGTGGATGTGACATCATAAATGACAAAGATTTACTCAAAAAAGGAAAAGGAAGTTATGAAATGAGGTGTGATATTAAAAAAAAAATTGCTGTTGTAAAATGGGCAGATAACAAATGTGTAACATTGGTAAGTTCGTTTGTACCTGTAAATGAACAAACGTCATCAGTTCGTCGCTACGATAAAAATATGAAAGCTAAAATTCCTATTAATTGTCCAACAATAATCAAAGAATATAACTCTAAGATGGGTGGTGTCGATTTAGCTGATATGCTAGTATCTTTATATCGTACTGGTCTAAAATCGCATCGTTGGTATTTGGCTGTATTTTCACAGTTATTGGACATATCTGTCAACAATGCGTGGTTATTATATAGGCGTGAATTACAAGAGTTAAATAATGATTTAAACGTTAAACATATGCCGTTAAAACAATTTAGAACTTCAATAGCTAAAACTCTTATTAACCAAAGAAAACCTGGCAGACCAATAAAAGAATTACTAAGTAATACTCGAATTCAGAAATTACCCAGGTTAAGACCTACGGATGATATATGCTTGGATAATGAAGACCATTTACCCAAAAAAATTAAAAAAGGACGATGTATGTTGTGCCCCAAAGTTCAGACGGTTTATTGTTGTACTAAATGTAACTTGAGACTTTGTACTCTTAACGAAAGAAACTGTTTCTACACTTATCATAAACAGAAATAAGTGCAATACAATTATATTTTAAATTTTAATGTTTATCTTTATATTTTTTCTTTAATTAAATTTGTTGTTAAATATTTTAAATATGATTTTACTGATTTCAAAATATTTTAATCGCTCTCATATGTTAAAAATGTTAAAACGGTATGGTTATATAATTATATTTTAGTTTTATTTTGAGTGAATTGTTTTCTTTTGTACCTACATTATTTATCAAGTAGGTACATAAAATAATATTATATTCATTAGGTAACAGTTTAGTTTTATTATACTTTTTTTTACATTGTTCCTATTGATGAATGAAACTGTTCCTACACTTATCATATAGATAGAAATGAGTGCAATGCAGTTATATTTTTAAGTTGTTTTGTTTTTCTTGATATTTGTTATTTAATTAATTTTGTTTTGAAAAATTTTAAATATGGTTTTCTAATTTCAGAATTCTATTAACTTTAATTTGTTAAATACGTTAAAATAATAAAGTTGTATAATTATTTTTTAGTTTCATTTTGAAAAAGTTGTTTTCTTTTGTATGCATTATTTACCAAGTAGGTAATCAAAATATATTCATTAACTGCTATATACCTATTAATATAATTTTTTTTTTAATTTTTTCTATTAAAAAGCAATAAAAACTATATTTTTTTGACTTTTTATTTCATAGTTTTACTTAGTAACTTTTTAGTAATAAAACTTAGAATAGACATAATCAAGTGATGTACACTAATGGATACTAGATTCAAAATGAAGAATTCGTAGTGATGTATCCATTAAGATACAAAAATAAAATATCGTTTACGAGGTAGTGTATCTTAAAAGACACGAAATTGAAAACAGCTTCTATGAGGTGATTTATCTTTAAAGATACACATTTCAACTCAAAATATCTCAAAAACTAATGTTACTTTTTTAAAAATAAGGTCAAAAATGAACTCTACGTGTTTTAATTATTAAAAATAGTGATAGTTTGGAATTTTAGTGCAATATTTTTGTTTTTGCCAAGTTAAGGGTTAATACAGTTATGCATTATAATCAATTATAATCAGAGGCACACATTGATATTATAAGGATAGAACGGCTGAAAAACATAAAGACTTTTTTTAAAAAAGAGTATGTATGGAGCAAGATTGGTGGGTTTTAAATTTAAATTTTGCCATACCTGTTGTAAAAATTTGGGTGCCACTGAGACAACTGAGTATATTAATTTATCATATTCATACCTTTAGTGATAATAATAGCTAACGGAACAGCTCCTGCAGCACAAGGAGCAAGCATAAATGGGATCGAATGATTTTGCGGTTCACATGCAGAAGTTGTATCTACAAAAATTATGTCACTAGATGTCCTAAGCATATGGGCTCTTTTCATCATAAGAGTTATAATCACTACTGCAAATGGATCTTCTTTAAAATTAACAATGATGTCTTGCTTTTCATAAAATATTTTTTTTTCTAAGAGTTTCTATCAAAAAAAAGTAGTTGAACAATCTAATTAGACTAGGTAGTAAAAACATCAGACTGTAGCGGAAAAATATAAAAGTTAAAATTAATGTATTTTAATAGAAATTTCAAATTGAATCACTTTATTTCTTAAAAATGGTCCAACATTTTGGTATTCTAGTCAGTAGTTTCTCTACTGTCAATTATTTAATTATTAAATAAAACAAAAAATAATGAAGGCCTATCACCTATGTGATGTAAACATTCTAAGCAATTATTCCTAATATTATATTACAAAGTTATTTAATAAAAAAATTAAAAATCACAATTAATAAACATTTTAAAATTAGTAATAAGGTAAACAGATAAAAATAATCAAGTATATAAAATTAATATAGTTGTATATACTTAATGCCAATGTAGTAACATGTAACAAACTAATTAAAATGTTTACTACATCAATAGGCAATAATACAATGTTTCTTGTAAATCTCAAAAATTATAAGTTATTACAATAGGTATACTCGTTATGTTTAACAGTCTAATTAACTTCTTTAATATTCTTTAAACAAATTAATGTAAGAAAAAACTATTTTTTTTGAATATAGTTAGCAGCTTTTAAAAAATATTAAATAGAACATTATTTAAGATTAAATATTATAAGGATCTATTAATTTAATAAATACTGTTGTATCATGCATAATATATTAAAGATATTAAAATTAAAACTATAACCTAGGATAAGAAAACCATCATAATATGTAACAGGTAAAATACCAAAACAAATCATACAATATACAATAAGCTATAAGTAACAACATGCATTCCATCAAATGAATTTAAGATAACAATTATGTAATAAAATAACAATTAGTATAATTTTAAGCATTGTCAATAAGTATAATGTAACTAGGTTAAACTTAATATTGATATTACCGATAGTGCTTTGATAGGTAGTAAAATTGATGTATAAAAAATATGTGAAGACAGAAAGAGGGTCAGTGGGTGGTGATTGTGTGACTCAATTGGGTATGGTCGAATTGCACTTATTTTAGTCGAATTGCACTTGGATTTAAAAAAGGTAATGGTCGAACTGCACTCGGGTAAAAAAAAGGTAATAGTCGAACTGCACTCGGGTAAAAAACAGGTAGTGGTCGAACTGCACTTGGGCTCAAAAAGTATTTCAATAAAATTATCATGCATTTGAAGGGGTTAAACATTTGGTTCACACTCATTTTCCTATAACTATTATATTATACTTTATATTATATTATATTTTAAGCTCAAATATGGGCGGAAAAAGTCCTTCGTCAGAAATATAATTATCAACTAAATAGTCACTAAAATCTTGAACTGCTTGATGTTTATGTTGAAAAACGCTACGGCGTACTTATTTAATAGCATTATATATATATATATATATATTAGTTCGTGCCATTTAGATAACGCAGATAATATTATTGTCACCAAAAATCGACAAAAGAATCTAACCTAACTGGATAATAAATAGGTAGTTATCAATAAAAGTATAAGATTAATACTTATATTGTATACCGTGTACTATGTAGACCTATGTAAAGGTTAGGTTAGTACACACTTTTACGTCGCGGTGTAAGTATGAACAATTTAGAAATTATTAAAAGTGAGCGAGGCCGTGACTTAATCGTGTACCAAAATTATTCGTTTTACAAAGAAAAACATGTAAATGATGGTGTTAAATGGCGTTGTACTCATCATGGTTGTCTTTCAAAACTATATTTAGATGAATGTTCTAAAGTAATTTTTCGATGTGAGTTAATACACAACCATGAAAAACCACTTAATTTACCTCGGAAAATGATTTCAAATTCAGCAAAGAGAAAAGCAGCTGACCAAGGTATTTATAAACCATTAAAAATTATTAGGGAAGAAATTGTTAACGCTCCAGTAGAGTTAACACAATTATTAAATAGTAACGACATAAATCGAATACGAAAAAATATATATCATGAACACCGGAAAAACTATCCGATTTTACCAAAATCTCTTAATGACACACATGACACTATTAGCAAATTAGAAATTAAAACAAATATTGATGAAGATTTTTTACTAGATAACAATTCTGCATATAACATTATAATATTTTCAACAGAAAAAAATTTAAAATATATAATATGTGAAAAAACGATTATTTTTGTGGATGGCACATTTTCACATTGCCCAAAATTTTATTATCAAATGTTCACACTACATACAGTTCACAATAATTATTATGTACCATTAATATTCGCTTTGCTCCCAAATAAAACTATAGATACGTATAAAAAAATGTTTCAAATAATTACTGAAAAGTGCAATGAATTTGGTTTAATTTTTAAACCAAATTTATTTGTAGCAGATTTTGAGCAAGCAATTCATAATGCAATCAATGAAATGTTTCCTTTAAGTAAAATAATAGGTTGTAGATTCCACTTATCACAATCATGGTATCGTAAAATACAAAATTTAGGACTTTCAACTGATTACAAATCTGAAAATGAAATTGGAAAATGGCTTCGTAATATATTTGGTTTAAGTTTTTTAAATGCAGTTGAAGTTGGCGATTCTTATACAGAAGATTTTATGTCAACTATCCCAGAAAATCAAGCAGTTCAAGATTTTAGTGACTATTTAGTTGATAATTATATTTCTGACGAAGGACTTTTTCCGCCTCATATTTGGGCTTCAGATACGATTTCTAGTCAAAGAACTACTAATGAATGCGAGTCTTTCCACGCGAAGTTCAATAAATCATTTTCATCGCCACATCCAAATATATTTGTTTTCATTGATGTTTTAACTCAATTACAAATCGATACCTACATTTTAATGCAGAATACTGACACAAGACCATCAACGACACGGTATCAGAAAAAATAAATAATATTGAAAAATATATTGACTTATATACTCAAAAGCGTATTACCAGGCTAGAATTTTTGAATACAGTTAGTCATTACTACAAAAAATAAACGAAAGGACAAAAAAATATATATATAATAATGACGATACTTAAATTTGACGTTTAAAAAAAAAAAATGTTTTATAATAACAATAATATGTATAGTATAATAAAATATAATAATCTTCTTTATATATAAAAATGGAGACAAAAAATTTGAAATAGCATCAGTTGAGAACGGCTGGGCCGATTTTGCTCAATTTTTTTTAAATGATAGAGAATGTCGGGGAGCGGGTTTATAGCATAAATTATGGATCTAACTCATGTGGATTAGAGATTTGGAGACAAAAACTGAGTTACACCGGTGGCGCCCTCTAGCAGATAAAAATATTAATATAAATATAATATAAATAATAATACAAATATCGATAATAGCAGGGCTTGAAATCGATTAATATCGATAAAAATCGAAAAAAAAAATATTAGAGAACAGCTGGTCCGATTTGTCTCAATTTTTTTTAAGATGTTCGTAATTAATAGGTGAAGGTTTTTACGAAGGAAAATTTTTAAAAAGTCAACTGAATAATTAGAAAAACTGCAATAACTATTTATTGATGTCTGGGATTTGAACTCGATACCGT